TTTTTAACCGCTGTAATGGTTTTTTTCTACCGTTTCTGCCATAAGTCGCCTGGCATAAGCAATCAATTTCCGAGGCAATGGAACGAATCGTTTTAAGATATCTTAAAGGATTGATATGACGAGAACTTATCTGTAAAATACAAACAAATATCATATGATTTTCAATAAAGCATTAATAGGCATCGTTTGATTACAGAAATTCATTGTTGCTTTTGTACGGGTTTCTTTGATCAGAACGTCAATATTTGTATTTCTTCCTTCTTTGATCTTCTTTGGGCGAAGAAAGACCCGTTTGACCTTTCATTTTAATGTTGGTAAATACGTCAGAAAGAAAATTGATGCCGAAGAGACGGTGATAAACAATTGTTAATCTCGGTATTCAAATGGAATTGACCTTTCAATTAATGTAAGTATATGGCGTCTAATCACAGAGGCAGAAGTCTGTAGAAGACCGTCTACCAATCGCTAACACTTTAATTTACAAAACAAGATGTTTTCAAGATGTCTCAAAATAAGTAAATCTATAAAATCGAAAAAGATGGCGGGAACATCGCGAAAATCTTTTTGATTTACAATTATTTCATCGTGACAGGAATTTCAATGCTATGCTTTCAAAACTGGTCCTAATACAACATCTTTAAAAATAACAAAATAATGCTTTTTAATATGTTGATAATTTTACAAGACCTATGGTCTACTACAGTCTTACCCGTAATTAAGAGCAATAATTCTGTAACTAACACTAGCCTCGTCCACAGGGACCTGAGCATATATTACAGGTACATTGTATATATGATCATTGGGGGGTGTCATTTTTAACGAAAGTCGATCTAAACTCCTAAAACATGTAAACTTACTCTGAACACCTTAGTTCAGGTCCAAATATGGCTGTAACAAATTCTCAGGTCCCTGTGGCCTCGTCTGGTCAGAATGAAAATCTGAAATATGCAAGCCAACCCCACCAAGGGTTGGCCGAGAACACTCTGAACGAACAAGATTGAATCGGCATCATGAAAAAGACGTCACTGATGTGCCAACGATATTACAAGGCGGCATCGTGAAAAGGTCACCGTGCACGCCATGAAAGTTTTGTTAAGTAAGGAGATATGGGGGTGTTGGGTAGGGGTGGCTATAGGTATGCATTCCGTTCGTCCGAAGATTTTTGTCCAGGGCATATTTTATATATTATTTCACCTGTAGTAACACGATTATGTATACGCAAATATATCTTGGGATGGCAGAGTGCAGAGTACAAAAAGTAGGTCACTGTGACCTATGATTTAACCCACGTTTGACCTCAGTAAATAACGATAAAGGAATTATTACCGATGGATGACTATGGATTGCCTTGCAATACTTTGCTTTGTTAATCATGCATTGAGTCCTTTTTTTGCTCTGCTTTCTTAAATCATTGATATCGGCTATTGTTGCTATTATCTTAAATGCGGAACGTTTAGCAGGGAATAACAGCTACCTATTTTACGTACTTTGGTATGCCTCGGCCTCGGGACAGAGTCGATCAACAATAGTAAGGTATTGCCAAAGAAAGCGCGTGGATACAAAAAGCTTAGTAGGATGTATAGAGATAACTTCTAACGTTCCCAAATGATGCAATGGGCGTAGCAGATTTACTTCGGTCACTGTTGTGGGGCACAAAAGCAAAACCCCAATTCTGCACGGGGTTCCTACTTTCGTTACCTCTTATAAAATGTAGGGAATAACAGCAGGTATGTTCTTTTCTCAATCCCCGATCTGCAGGGTGCAATTCTAATGACAAGTCTTCAATATAATCTTTGGACTTTAGACGATAATACAGTTTACTTATTCCTGCAGTGTATTCCTGCAATCTATCCTTCTCAGAGAAGTTATCTAATCATTATGTATGTAACCTCCTCAAAAGCTTATAAAACGTATACACACTATGAAGTTTTTCTTGTATGACAAATGATGTATACAAACAATGTAAAACTGACAAAGAGAATAAAGATTAACGATTATCTAACATGTAATAGCCAACCCCCATTGGAGTGCCGTATAACATGTTTAGTAGGCAGCAACACTTGAGTAGGAAAAGTTAGTAATACGTATTTCAATAGATACTTGAAATCAAACCGTTACAAGAATGTTAGTGGGTTCAAACAGAGAGGTAAATGATGCTGGGTTAGGGTGGGTGGGGGGTGGG